TATTGTTGTTTTATTGATGTCATTTGTCACATATGCAACATGACTGGAATCTCATTTTTCTGACACGCCTCAAAAAGCACAATGTCGCAAAATCTCAAGAGACATGCACGGGACCGGGCACGTCAAAAATGTAAATTTATAGCTTATCGATATATACAAAATGTTGTGCATAGAACTGATATTTGAAGCCAACAAACACGCGGATGACAGACATAGCTGTATCATTCGTTACATGCCTAAACAAACGATCCCAATAACAACATTAGTTATTTGAACAGAACACGCAGGGAAATGTCGTTTTTGAATTCATATTTTCTGAAAAATTACACCTGAAATATTTTGACCTTCCTAGTCGTACATGTAGCTTCCGCAGCACAGTTAGGCGGTAAACTGAATGTGTCACGTGTCTGCTTGTATTCCCCAAGTAAGTTTGCATTAGATTTCTGGTATATTTCAACAAGGAATCTGAACATAGATTTGTTGGAGAGGTGAGAACTTATGTTGTCCTCTGTCTTATTACATTTCTAGCTTTGTACCGGTCTAATAAAATCTGTTACATAATGAGATTGATTTTTTCTTATACGTATGATTGGTAATATTTTTAATTCTTTGAATATGTACACGTACATGGATTATTGATTAAATCGAATTCACCTGCAAAGCAAAACCAATTTTGTTAGAAGGAAACTATCCAATTAAAGGTGAGATGCTTATACAACGGCAAAACCAAATATTAAACAACATACATAAAACCTGTTCTTTTTATTTCGAAAAAAAACCACCAACTCGACAACCGACAGTTATTTGTTGCACTGCCTACACATTTCAACGGGACTGAAACGAACCCCTTATTCGACATATACAGTATTCTATGGTCTTACTTACGACAAAAAGGAGAAGATAAACGTGAAGGCAAATGCGTCAAAAGAAATTTCAAAACATTATGGAATTCGCCCCATGTCGATCGGTCCATTGATGAATGAGATGTGAGAAAATGAAACGTTTCATCTCAAAGGCAATTATCCTACAAAACGGGGGGAAAACGTACAAGAATGATGAATGAGAGCACCACCTATCTAACATTCCAACAAAATACAAAGAAAGTGGATTCATCACAACTCGAAGAAAAAATGTACACTGTAAATAGTTCTGCAAATCTAAAGCAATAACTCCAAACTTGAATCTCTAAAGCCAGAGTTGGTTGTTCAGTTGTTAAACATAAAGGATACCTTATTCATACTCTAACAAGATACGATCAAAGGGGGCTAAATAATGCCAGAGTTAAACACAATGATCAATTGTCAATGGAAATGTAGCATCCCTTTCAATTTCATTTCAATCCACTAATAGAACCTGATAAATGTTTCGACCAATCAGAAAGCGCGTTCGCCATCTTTGATGTTTAGTCGTTAAAATACAACAAATCATCAGTAGTCATGTAAAGCGTTATTACGGTCCACTAAGTAACTTGTTAGCAACTTTTTGGATATGGCAGAAGTGAAGAATAAGGATGAAAAAAGACCACAAACAATATGTGACAAGAAAACAAAATCCTAACAAAAAAGCTCCATTTTTCATTGGAAAAAGGAAAGGCCTAAAAAAGCAGTTTTCAATATTTCATTTTGCTATCTGTCCGCTCTTCTCAGGTATAAATGTACCCTTGGTAACCTTCCAGTTTCTCCGTGTCTTTATCATTTGGTCAATAATGGCTGGTGATAAGGACGTAATAGAATAGACATGTTTTTGGAAGCAGCCATTATAACGGCTGTTATAGGAAGCTTCAAACCCAATATAATCTGGACGGTTCGATTGATTTCACATTTTAATTCTACAAAAGTGTTACTATAACTCTTATCAGCTTTATGTACAAACACTTTATTCAGTTTCGCATGACTTCAAACCTAACACAATCAATAATTAAGCGCTTTCTATTTGTGTGTTTTTTGTTGATTACCGTTGGCACGGTAAACTTATCCATGTTAATACAAATGTACATTGTTTTCGTTTCGCAATTTTACTAAGTAATGTCTTCATGTTTTCAAATTCATATTGATTTCTTTCAAAACACTTATTCTATATAATGACAAAATATTCAAAAGCAAAATGGCGATTCATTAAAAATCCATGGGATTTAAGAAGTTAAACGCTTTCCATTTCAGTCGTATAAGCGATCCGCTCATTTACACTGATGAGGAAAAAAACTTCTGGCTGCTGACAATCCTCGAGAAAAGGTGATTAAAATTACTTTATTCCTTACAGTTGATTCGAGTTCAAAGATGCAACGTTGTCAATTAAGTATTGGAAATCGTATGTCCACAATCGTGGATATCGTTAGTCAATAGTCATTTCTGAAGATGAGTTTCAGGAGTTCCCGGACGTGAACACAATAAATTGCACTCATCACCAGTAATTAACAAGCAATCATTACCACTTCAATAATATTCCATGAATTACTAACGAGTAAATAGGTAGAAGGGTTTGCGAGAGTCGCCGAGGACCAGACATTATCTAAGCTAGAGCTGATCTACCGATCAAATGACAAAACAAAACACCCGCAAAGAGATGTACTAGAAGAAGATATATGTATATGTTTATGTTTAATAAGTCTTCGATTTATCAACAAAATAATGCTATTCCGAATCACAAGAGGGACAGTGCGTAAATAGCAGGTGCCTCAAGAGAACCGCTGAAGTAATAAATGCAGAAAATGTGAAGGAAGTTCACAATAAATGCAGCAGATAAATAAGAGAGTCTTCGATGTCCCCTTAAAACTCTTCACCCCTTATTGTGTTTTGCACATTAAGGGATAACATGTACCACTAACTGTGAAAATGTAAGACGACACAAAGAACAAATGTCTTTAGGAATAACCAACATTCAACGCGCACCTGTCCCGTAATAATGTCTTTTGGAATAACCAACCTTCAACGCGCACATGTCCCGTAATAATGTCTTTAGGAATAACCAACCTTCAACGCGCACATGTCCCGTAATAATGTCTTTAGGAATAACCAACCTTCAACGCGCACATGTCCCGTAATAATGTCTTTAGGAATAACCAACCTTCAACGCGCACATGTCCCGTAATAATGTCTTTAGGAATAACCAACCTTCAACGCGCACATGTCCCGTAATAATGTCTTTAGGAATAACCAACCTTCAACGCGCACATGTCCCGTAATAATGTCTTTAGGAATAACCAACCTTCAACGCGCACATGTCCCGTAATAATGTCTTTAGGAATAACCAACCTTCAACGCGCACATGTCCCGTAATAATGTCTTTAGGAATGACCAACCTTCAACGCGCACATGTCCCGTAATAATGTCTTTAGGAATGACCAACCTTCAACGCGCACATGTCCCGTTATAATGTCTTTAGGAATAACCAACCTTCAACGCGCACATGTGCCGTAATAATGTCTTTAGGAATGACCAACCTTTAACGCGCACATGTCCCGTAATAATGTCTTTAGGAATGACCAACCTTCAACGCGCACATGTTTTGTAATATTGTCTTTAGGAATGACCAATCTTCAACGCGCACCTGTCCCGTAATAATGTTTTTAGGAATAACCAATCTTCAACGCGAACCTGTCCCGTAATAATGTCTTTAGGAATGACCAACCTTCAACGCGCACCTGTCCCGTAATAATGTCTTTAGAAATAACCAACATCCAATGCGCACCTATCTCGTAATATCAAATTCCCTGTATTACTGTGTACTCTATTTAATTGACCAAACTACCAGTCGTTCACAATGTTTAAATATATCTTGTTGCATATTTTCGGTATTTTAAAACAGTATTATCATGTTGTCTTGCTGTAATAACAGAAGTTGAGTACACTATATATCTGAAAAACATGCTCAATATGTAAAACAATCTAATTGTCTTTTATTTAGTTTCAAACTCCCATACCAATGGATTGTAAGTTTGCCAGGGCCACAGATTCCTTGGATTGCTAAAGGATTTGCTAAATTCAAATAAAAAGGGTCGCGGGATCTACCAAAGCCTCAATATGAACAGAATATAATACGAAAACAACCATAGATTACCTTTAAGTTAAGTCAAATGGACCGCATAGGTATTGTTTAAGGTTACTGTTCTTCAACTTTTATTAGCTTTATGACACATAATTTTCACAGGGGTAACTGTCCAAAAGATATTTCGGAAATCGGAATTTTCATCAGCTCAGGGAACATGGAGAAAGCAACCATGAACTGATAGACCTGATTAATAACCAATTGTACTTTCCTTATCAGAGAGTTTCAAGATTTCTACATTATTCAAGATACTAGTTTTGGCGTTAGATATGCGGCCAACGTTATACTCAGTGGATATCCTTAACTTCGATATTACACATCAACGAAAGCACTGGATTTGCTGTTGGTAAAACTATCACGAGATCATCATTTGATCCAAAGCACAGATGATAGTGTATGATGCTTGGCGCCGAACAGTTTACGTTATAAACTTGCTGACCCCGTAATAGAATCAAATGAATATATTGAATATTAATACGTTAAAATAGTTGCGCGGAAGTGATGCTATTACAGGCATTGAACCTGTTGGAGTGGCATTGATTGAGATGATGTAACATATAAATGTAGAAATTGCCGAAGGGACACGCCAAACGCTCTGTCAAATAAAACTAATGTTTGTCGACTGTATTATATAAATATGTTCAGTACCAGAAACCAATTAGAACATCTCTAGAGTACGAGCATTGCGGCTGTTAAATTGTCTAGGTCACAGCAATATAACTCAAAGGGACTTGGTGAACCAACAGAAAACAGCATGATTTGGAGAACATTTTGAACATGAAGTACACCAACAAAATACACTAGTAATATGGTAAACATTTAGTATATTACGAACGACACACCAACACAACACAAAGTCTGCGTACGGAATCATATCTTATGAAGTAACGTATGAACTTTAGTTATATAGTACAATTTATAATTTCTTTAGAATTGATGTCATAATAATCACTAACCTTTCATCTTATATTTGCTTGCCACGTCCAGGACAATAGCTCCACCAAGCTCTCTCCCGGCAAAACATACTCCATTGGTATTTGTAAAAGTTACATTAAAGCTCTTTAGTTTCGCCATCCTGAAAAAAGTTTACGCATTTTGTGCTTTCAATGGTTTATGCTCGTTTCGTCATACTGTCCACGCTCACAGTAATGTTAGATCTGTGTTACCATCGACTTGGCCCAATCATTGATTCGTTTCCTGGAATGTCATGAGATAACCTGTACGAAAACGGGCGCCAACCTAAAACCTACGCTTCAACATTCTCAATCCACTGTGTTATATATGTTGTCGTACGGTGTTGAGTCACCCAAGGTTACATATCCCATAAGTCTCAATTCCACCTTAAATTTTTCATGAATCGTGATTTCCGATGCTGAAAAAGTTCCGCTTAAATTGTATAGCCGTAAGAAGCGTTATATTTTATTCCAGCGTGATAAGGCACCTGACGATCTGCTGTGAATCATATCCTAAAACTTGAAAACTGTCAACGTTCAAGTGCATTGGCACAGCAACCATCCAACCATTCAACCCAGTAAAATATCCGATATGCCAGATCCATCTTGAGTTTTTACGTGAAAAATGTGTTTAACATTGCGATCCTGATCGCAGATATTCTAACAGAGACGTCGTATGTGTGTAATTGACCTGCATACTGTCAAATGCCATATAAGCATGTATAATATGGTACCCTAACTACAGGTAGGAGTGCTCGGTAGTCATATAATGAAGGTAGCGACCGTGGCGTGTTATAAGCTGGTGACAATCAATAGAGTTGAAGATGGACGTGTATATGCCGCGGGCTCATTACGTCGACCGACATCCACATATTTACTCGTGAAATTATTGTAAATATGTCACGATCATAACTACATCTGTGAAGGCAGAGACCATTTTAGAAACGTACAGTTAGCGGGAATGTTTTAATTTGCAAGTAGAATAGTCAAGTGCTGTTTTAAAATTATATTTCAAAATCTAACTTAGTTCCCTTTAAAACTCATTTGGGAGCTATTATAATTATATCTTGAAGTTTGAACAGGCTAAACACGGGTAAATATTTGATGATGGTATGATATATACATCGAAAATATTAGCATTCGTTACCCTTATTAAACATATAGCGAACGTGTGTCTTATATATATACAAAATGTATACAGAAATAATATTTTCCAAGATAAGATGGTGTCCAAAGACGATACGTGTTAAGAGTCGACTTAAAAGTGTGACTCATTTGAGCTCGTTTTGAGAATTCCGGTACATCAGAATAACCATATTTGATGGTTTCCCGTAGAATGTTATAGACATATTTACATTTCACCAGCATGGTAGAATACTGATATTAATTCTGGTGAGAGAAGACACGAGTGAAAATATCAGTATACAGTTGTTTCATGCCTTATCAGTCAACAGTCAAAAGTATTTTCCCGAGGAGTTCGGACCCACCAGATGAACTGTTTCCCGAGGCCGCAGGCCGAGGGAAACAGTTCATCTGGTGGGTCCGAAATCCTCGGGAAAATACCTTTGTCTGTTGACTGATGAGGCATGAAACAACTGTTTTGTTACTTGACCAATGAAAAACCAAAAAGTTCTATGTCGAATGTGATGTTTAGATCTACCAACAGACAACCGTCAACAATCCAGTACCAAAAACGCTTGGTCATCGCGGTGCTTGTAATTGTAGGTGCGTTCGATTACCTAACATGAGACCAGTCAACAGTTGCACATGACCAGTCAACAGTTTTACGGTAGCCCACATTAGCTATAGTTCGTTTGGTGAATTATCTGGGAAATAGTCGAAATTGATTAATATGCATTTATATAGCGAGTCAGGTAACAATATATTCTATTATACGATATTTTATAGCGTAATCTTTAGCGCCATATTGTGATAACGTCACACTTAACAATAAGTCTTTGGGTCATATTACATGGGCTACTCCAAACAATTCTACTGTTGTCTGCTATAATGTGGTAAAATTTGTTGATAAAACTATTTACAACTTTGTAATTACATACGCACAATAGTGTATATATATTTAAGATTTATATGCTTTTAAACAGAAAATGTCAGACTTCGAATGCAGTGAAAAGTACCTTCTAATTGGTCAATGCCAAATGGGATAGTTTTAGACTGTGAAAAAAGATACGTTTTGAGATATGTCATAATGTGAAAGATATCAGGTTTATTATGTTGATAGAATTCGATAATAAATAAAGAATCATATCACACGATAAGCACACGACGGCATTCAGAATTCGGACACCGACTGGTTTTGTATTCCATAGTGTCTATTTCTATACTATTTTTACATCCGATGTATCAATGATACTTTATTGATTTCTACATGGTGCATGAACTGATCAATAGATATGGACATTCAATTGTATCATTCATACTGACCGGATGTTGACTCTCCCATCCTTCATAGAGATGTCTCCCATTTAAATAATGAAAAAAATATGTCAACCGCTAGAGTAGTGACACGCTGTAAGTGTGTGACGTCAGATGGAAAGAATTGAATTATTTGAATTCAACCTATCGTACAGTTTGACAGTTGGGTAGAATCATTCTTGTTTTCATTGAAGTGATTCTGTAGAAGAAGCGAGTTACAACGTTAACTCAAGCATTTCGATGTCAGATCGTTACCATTCAAATAAAATGATGTCGAACTATGGGCTTTTCATGTGACTTTATGGAGCAAATTTCAGACATTGGAAATATGGTCTCCCTCTCTGAAAATGTTAAAAAAATAAATCCAAACAATACTCTAGGGCAAAATTTGAACAAACGAAAGATCAACTTGGAACTCATTAAAACAGTATCTAAGATGAATAAAACCTTGCATGTTGGAAAGGTCAGCGTCTTTTACCTCATCGACGACACTCAACATGTAAATCTAGGTCGTATCCAAGTATAAAAAGGTTAAATGTCGAAGTCACATCCGCCAAGTAAAAACCGAGATACTGACAAATAAACAAGATACGCTAATGAGCATATTAAAAAACATCGACCTTCATACCACAGAAAGTCAGTGTATTTCTTGCTATTTAAAGAGGTTTCGTCGTCGATAAGCCCGAACGTGTAATTGTAGTGGCCAGGATTTTGGCATCTGCCTTTATAAACTCGTCAAATATTTCAGCCTGTCCACTTGCTATGGAGTTTTTATGATAACGTCAAAATAATCATGTCGTATCCATGAAAATATGATCCATGTGAATGAGTTTCTGGATAGCTTTATTTACATTACTTAATATTTCGGATCACTGATACTAGAGTAGCATGTGTATTTTCAGGAGCACCAACTTTGGCCTGTTGTTTGTATCTATGAAATGGAGTAGCTAAATTGTTAATTGTTATTATGAGATGCATTCCTCATTGAACATGCCTCAAGTGATCGACTAAGCAGTACTGCTCTAGATTTTCAAGCTTAATGTATCTTTATCGTTCCCAGACTGTACATTTATCAAACCCCTAAAAAAAGCCAAAAAAAAGCCAAATAGGTTGTCGATGACACCGACGTATAAATGTGGTCATGTTAGACAATGAACAACAGAGCGGTTATGTATACAAACATTACCTGTCCACATAGAGCTGTGTTCTATACGTGTGTGCGCGGTATTTTAATGCCGACGCATGTATTAGAATCCTGTTAGAATTGATGCGGCGGTTGAATCGATGCATAAACGTTACAAAACAAGGCTGAACACATATTCCTATGATATAGCCACACCTCTTCGAGTACCTAGAAGGATAGGGTTTACCGGGGCTAACTCACTTTGTACTGTTTTACCGTTATCAAAGAAAACCCCATGCAGAGCCGGCATAGCGACGTCAGACTCCAAGGTTTCTTGCACACTATTTCTTCTCCCGCCATAAACCTAATAATTGTGTCGCCATTGATTGAATTCATGAGTCTAATTAGGTGTACAGGTAAACTGCACGGCAATTTCGTTTGATGTTAACTACCGTGATTCAGATACGTAACACATTGCTCATAACACAAATATCGTTTCCTGTCATGGTCCTAGACAATCTTCATAATCACATGTACTAGAAAACGCATACACATCCACCTTTTCTGTACAATCCCGAAAACTATAACCACATGAAATCAAGCAGGCTATTGGTAACTACTGATTTTTTTTTCGCAGGAAAGAATAATAGAATACCTTTATTCGGCCATTTTGATTTGGGTTGATTAGGTTAGTGTCCAATCAAAATCCAAGGTAATCTAAGGATATGACTGCATGTGTGTACTGTATGCGTGTATGTTTGCTTGAGACGGTATGTTGGTGTATCTGCCTCCTTTGCAAGAGTGCGGATATACTGCCCACAGTAGAGAGCTACCTCGCTGAAATACCATGCCAAAAACACCCAGCACAGTATCCCACTTGGTCAGTCTATACTGACTACAGGTTTATCCGTTGTTGCGACTACTGAACTTTAGGAGGGAATAAGAACTGCCAGTTTTTGAAGCCTGTGGACAGAACCCATTGCCTTCCCTATTTGGGCAAACGTTCAACAATATGGCCAAAAGCGAGGTTTTGCCAAGAGAGGCGTTAGTAAACAAAAATAGTGTCAGGAAGGAGAGAGAAATATACTATAAGATTCCAAATGTTGCAATGGGTGCGCGGATATATTTTGGTCGCTTTTGTGTGCCGAGGTAGAGGGCACAGACACTAATTCTAACCTCTGCTGGATTTCCCTACATTAGTTGAGTAAAAGTAGATACCTAAGTATATTCTAAGCCTTGTAGCTATAATCACTGCAATCGACGACGAACCAAATTGCTTGCATTATTCTGGTTGTGGCGTTGTTATGTAATTTTCTTTGTGACACAAAATTTGTATCGTTTGATTACACACTGATTTACTAAAATAAATACTGTCTCTTTATCGAGTTTGTCATTCTTTACATTATGTGTTCTGATAGTGTTTTGCAGGAAAGAAATTTAAATATTAAAACTGATTATATCTAATTGGTTTCCAATAAGAAGATAATTCAACCTGGAGCAATTACATTATTAGATATTAGTTATTTAACCTAAACATTTTATGTATGTTTTGTTTTTACAGACAAAAATCAATGATTACCTTTAAGTATTTTAAACGGTTTATCAGAAAATGCTTCCAAAAATAATGAATCTCAAGAAGTGTAACATATATAATCTTGTTAGTTTGTGCTGTCTAGATATTGTTGTTTCATTACATAATAGGTTATAAAACGTCACACTGGAGTTCCCTGAATCACACAATTAGACTAATTAAAATATGTTTTTCTTTCTTTTGCAGTAGTATGAAACGGGACGACATTGCGATCTATTATGTTAAAGACAGTATTTAATTAAACCTGTTGGTTTCCAAAATATAAAACAAATTGTTAAAATTCGGTTGTCATCGCATGCGTTAAACATTGAAACTGGCAGACTTCACGGTTTAACTGTCTAAGTTAGCAACATTTCTGAGCCAAAGTCATAAAAGGAGATTCAATACTGTTTAAGCTGAACGGAATCACTCTCTACACTATCGCTTTAAGTTTATCATGTATGCATGGTCGGAGTGTTGAATTATTTATTTGTATATATATGTTCTGTATAATTTGCACTGTATATATTCACATTGGTACGTATTTGATAGAGTGGTGAAGCATGATTGTATAATGTATAAATTTACTAATTGACCGTATGATGCCGGACTCTCCGATCGCAATTGAAAATGGATCATAATCAATTATGTATATGAAATAGATACGGTGAAGTGTCTCTTCTGGTACGCTATATGAACGAAAGTTGATGCACATGAGTGGTAAATCACTAGAGCGTGGCACTATCAAGTAACTCTGTTAAAAGCGGCTCCAATTCTGTGCTATGAATCTGTTTCAAAACCTATCGTACCTTTTGTTATACTAATGTTTTAAATATTTTGTTCTGTCTTCATTAATTGTAATTTTCAAAAACGTTTATACATAGTCTACTTAAATTACTGGAAATAGGAAAAAGAAATCGTTCAAATTCTGTGCTGTTCATTGTTAAACATTGTTGTTACTATAAGAACATGTCGTTGATAATCGGTATAAATACCTCACATGATATAAGTCTTTACTACACGTTGTAGATACATTATGAAGCAGACAAATATTCTGACCGAGCTATGCAAATAAACTTCCTGTTCCATACGCGAAGCAGGGTTCTATGAGCAGAAAATACATTTATGAGTGGCACATGATGAGATATGTATCTCCATGTAGATTAAAATTCACATGGGAACGTTGTGTTATTGCCAAGGCATTGTTCACACCGAGACTATCCTACCTCACCTGTAACACCTTCGATAAGCACGATTGATTTTGTATGGGTTATGTAGTCAATTGGAATGTTCTTGATCCATTATCTTATTGGAATGGCAATTTTTTTTCTGGTCGATCTGCATGAAATGTTAGTTTCAGAATTCATTTTCTGTTTTAGCCAAACGTTTAGCCTTTGTAACATTAGAAAGGGGTTGTATGCACCAGTCCCCATTCACAGTATTTCCACATGTTTCGGAAAGTTTTAGTATTTTTGTTTTATTTACTATTTTATAAGACCTAAAGTTCTTCTGATGAGTCCGGTATGGACGGAATAGCCATATGGTGCAGTGTAACGTTTACCTTGTTTGCCTCGCTGCGTCGACCCTATCTTAAAGAGCCTTTCACATGCTACCGATGTACCTCGCCGGGACTTAACCGGAGCAAAAATATTACAACGGCGAGAAGATCGGCAGAGCTCCGACGAGAAAGCACTTGAAAAAGCAATATCGACCGTAGCAATACCGACGTTATACCGGCGTTCCCGTTGTGATAATTTTGTTCTATTGATGTAGGATCCGATGTGCTACCAAATACCACTTTTCTGTCACCTTAGTGCTACTGATGCGCCGCTAATGTTACACCGATGCGTCGCCGTTGTTCTACCGATGTGCCATCGTTGACCGGAGCTATAGCGGAGTGTTACATGTACCGTTACACATCGCGGAGAACGGTAGAACATCGGCGGAGCATCAGTACTACTTCGGTGATATTCGGTAGCACTACGGTATCACATCGGTACCAGCACGGTACACATTGAGGTCACCGGAGAGCCGCCGATCCATAACGGGGCGCTACCGGTGCGCTACCGACATTAACGAAGCTATACCGGAGTACTACCGTTGTAGTCCCGTTGCTCGCTCCGGCAGCGCAACGGCGGAAATTTCTACCGTCGCCTGCCGTTGCTAACTTTTTCGCCGATGTTCTGACGATATACTATCGTTCTTTGCGATGTGATACTGTTGCGCTGCCGTACTAGTACCGTTCCCCGAAAATCTCCAAAATTTGTGCTCCGGTATACTGCGGCGACCCAAATCGGCTAGATGTGAAATTCCCTTAACCTTAAGTCTCCCAGTGCCAGTAGGCGCACAAGGCATCCACTTTTTTTCTCCAACCCAGTCTGTCTTGCGTTTCTGTTTTTGCGGTGTTCCAGCTACTCCATCCTATATGGTTGCGCTCTTTTTCAACTGTTCTTCGCCAGGTTGTTTTTGGTCTCCCTCTTGCTCTTTAACCTTCTGGTGCCCAATTTCTTCGTCACTCGTGCTGCGTCGACAAAACTAAATTAAGTGCCTCCTTGCTTCGTATTTCTAGTGATCATTGGTCCAAATAAAGTGTAACAAATAATTCCTTCATAACATCATAGTTACAGTATTATAGTTATAACATATAAAATAAATATTTGCGTTCGGTTGGGGGTTTCTTTATTATAGCGATAATATTACTTAATTGTTGTGCATTCTTTATTTTAGCATCAATGTTTGATTGTTATAAACCTTGTATTGAAATTTTAAAGTACTGTCTGTACACAGAAAACCATGGTCATTGTATTATTATTAAAACGATAACTGAAATGAGAGATATACTAGAGATAAAGGACAAAGAAAACAATAAAAGGTCAACACAACAAACGTTTACAGTCGCCAAACCCGACTTTCATCCAGGATTACAATCACGCTCACTTAGTCGATGGCTGATACGCTATACCATGACGGTTGCTAGATGTTTGGCAGGGTCTTTCTTCTGACCATACAGTTTCGTCTGCAATATTGTTTTGTATGTATTTGATTTTTGATATCATAGGTAAAATGATAAATAGCCAAGAATTGACTTGTTAAACATTTGTGTGATGCATATGTTTATGTTTTACAATGATTTTGAATACCTGACGCTGATCAAGGGGAGATAATGCTAATAATGACATGGCCGCCATGGCCAACGTTTCCGGTATGGCGGTGGTATGTGTGACATTGGCCAAACTGAGGCTTATTGACAACAAATCACAGTACAGGACAATTTATGAAAGAAGCCATTCACGGTCGGCATACCTATACCATGATCATAGCACGGAATATTTGTTATAAACAGCGAACACATTTTATTTAGATGCGCCATTCGGAGGCCGCAGTATACAGATACGTAACAATATTGAATCCTGGTCCGTTTTATTATACTAATTTAAAATACATTGAATTATTATTTGTATCACGTTTGCTTATATGACAAATATGTATATCTTGATACAGAAGTGAGCAAAGGGGAGGATCTATACAAAAACCTCAGAGATCGTTTAAGATCGCTTCAAATTAAAACAAAAGCCATCCAGAAAATGTGGAAAGCTCGCCGCCTTCAACTGTAGACGAATGACGTTCACCTGATCGTACCCAAATGGTTTCTCCCGGAATAGCTGATGCCACAACCACGTTAGATGCGGACGAGAGGTCCGCGTGACTTCCAGAGTCCGACCGTGCCACGCCATACCTAATACCATCAATCATCAATTCCGTCTGCATGTCCATGTTGTCGAGGCTGACAGTCGTCCAGTGGAAGACGTACGTACCTGGCGTTGGAACTATGAAGATTCCCGTGACAAGGTTGTAGCCACCTCCGATGTTGGTGCGAACGTGATCAAACTTAATCGTTTGGTAGTTTCCAATGTTCGCTACGTTGGTCTTTAGTTGGACGTAGAACGCCACCTGTGTTGGAAACTGAGGTTGTTGTCCTGTAACAGTCAAGCAAATCACTAACAGTTCAATAATCAGTTGAATTATGCATAATGTGGCTTAATAGTATATATGACTACAATATTTTATACACTATTGTATACACTATTTTGGCCCAGTCAAACATTTACCCTTCACAGATAAAATCCATCAATTTGCGACGTGTTAATTTTGACTTCGCTATGCATGCTGTTATCTGTACTAGTTTTTGCGAAGTGTTAATTTTCCACTTGCTATGCATGCTGTGATTTGTCTTAATATTCGCGGACGTGATTTTTTTTCTCTTTACAGATGTTGAAAGTTGAAATGATGTGAACATATTTAATTTGATTTACGGTGTTTACGTCACTGTAGGACTGCATGTAAATAATAGGTAACGGGTACAAATGCTTTATTTTATTTTTACTTCTCTATTGCTTTTTGTTTTATTTATTGATTTCCGCTTTTTTGTGTTGTGTGTTGTTAAGATGCGTGTATGTCACCTAAAAACAAATATAAGAAGTGTGATACATGTCATGTATCATGTATGCCTTACGTTATGTAAGTCACATTTGTTCGATGTTATTTGTGTTTTATGTATATATGTCTTACGTTACTCATGTTCTTAATATGTCTATCCTGGGTTATGCGTGTCTTACGTGTTCGCGTCACGGCACGACACTGTGTTGTATCTTTGAGCAAGATACTTTACTCCGCTTGTTCCAGTCTACTCAGCTGTAAATGAGTACGTGGTTGAGCAGCACTAGAATTGTTGAATGCTAGCTGTTAGCGCCAAAATGGCAGCTCCGGCTATATGCTCCCCATGGAGTTGAGAAAGATATTGGCTGGTTACAAGGGCCCTATAACCACGGATAATTATTTGTGAACCGTTTTGAGACGACCTATGGACTGGGTTGTGATAAAGCGGTATATAAGAACCTCGAATTATTAGTTATTATTAGTATTACGTCATTGCTATTCTCTACGTTTTATACATATCTTATGTTATGTATTTCAGACGTCATGCATGTTTTTCGTTTTATGTATGTATGCATTGCTTTATGCAAGTTGTACTCCATGTATGTATGATGTTATGCATGCCTGACTTTATGTATGCATTTTGTTATGTATATCTTACGCTATGTACACCTTAAGTTATATATTCCTTATATGTTATGAATAAAATTGTTAGGCTTGGTTCCCAAGCGTTGTTTAACGTGAATTACGCTAAAATATATGTCATGTCAAATCGTCAGTGACGTGGTTATGTAGGATCCGTGCCGACAACATTCCGCCTTATTACCTTTTTACGTAGTCCTATCTGTTAGTGTTCAACATTTTTTTTATAAATCAAACAAAAAACATACTTGGAATATTTCTTGACCTTGACAACATATCCAGCCCCTGTCCTTCATCAGCTGGCTCGTTTCCTTGGCATATGTTTGTTTCAGACAAGCTGATATTCTTTTTCAATTCGACAATCTCACGGCTTTGTCTTTTAACAGTATCTCGCAGTCGTTCCATCTCGGTAACACATGACTCGGCTTTGTTTTCGTATCCTCCAAGTCTTTCTACGGCTTCGAATAATCGCAAATTGGTCAGTTCCTGTGCCGCAATGAATTGCTGTAGTCGGGTCTCGGTCGCTGATAGCTCATTACCTGTGTTACTTTTTGTTGATGGCACGTTTGCCGGTACGGAATGCATGTTTGTAGATCCAGCTTCGTAGCATAATACACCATCAGGAAGAAATGCACAAACAGCCAGAAGAATCAATAGAGAAATGTTCAAATACTTCGACATTTTCAGAACAATTTAGATATAGAAACTACGATAAGAGATTTTACATAACGATAACCTTTATGGATCCAATCAGATAACCTTTCTGTCCGGCATCAAACGGTAATCTTATATATAGTTCCGTGAATTTACGTACGACCTTAGTATATAAACGACTTACAAATGTACCTCATATTAATTGTAAGACATTATATCTTCATTGTTCTACGTACAGTAACACTACTTAAATACCAAAGCAAAACACTGTATACACGTAAAACGCAAAATCGGACAATATTTTATCATAGAGTGTTAGTATGGACAAGTTACTTGAACATATATATAAGATCTTACAAGAGTTTCCATTTCATATGAGATTTATGAAACGAGTTTAAGAATTTTTCAATTAAGCGAGCCTCTGTGCGTCCTGGTTATTCAGATTAAGTTGTTCAAAGGTTTTTACATATTCAACCCTTATAACCTTGAACGTAGGTCAAGGTAATTTCTTAGAGGAAACATTAAATCACTCTGTCAAAGGTACCTGCTGGTCAAATATCATGACACTAGGTCCTCCAGTTCTTAAGAAGAAGTCATTCAAAGAAAAAAAAAGTTGACTGACGACGGACAGCACACCATACCATAAGCTCAACTGGCGGTGTGCAAGTTGAGCTAATAACGGCTATATATGTCCCCAAATAAAGGTACACCCCGAAACACATTGTCAGACGTTCATATGCAAATGATAAAAAACATGACACTTACAAATGCTCAAATATTATTTTAATGATGTCTTTCTTTAAAGTATAACATAACTTTGAGATTACAGAATTTATTTCTTTGAATACTTGTAAATATGCAATATAACCTTGTTGTAAACACATACATACTACAATCAATTTAATACATAACATCACCGTCATCAAATACACACATGTAAAACATTGCAACTGTATATCAAGAAATGTAGCATATTTAATAGCATAATAGTAATAATAACATATAAAAATGCACGTTATCCATTGCTTTGATTTTTTAAATCGTCAAATCACGATACAAATACGATAATACCCTGAACCAGGCACAGTATACGTCCCTGCCTGAACATAGCCATTGTCCAAAAATACTACTTTCCGTCTTAAGATCTTAAGTCCCAATGCGAGTGATAAGTTAAACTAACACTAGTTAGCTAAAATTCGTATTTTCAAAAGAAGCAAACGCCTTTTTAAAAATAACAAAATTAGCAAACAAGGCGTATAAGGAGGCTAGCCCGCCATCAGCAGTGTAAAACTTTTATATTATAACATGTATGTGAAAGCACTGCCATTTCCGACGTCACAACGAAGGTACACATGACATGTGGTATTGGCAAGCCGGTTGACGTAATCACACATACAAGTGACACTATCAATCTGCATCACATGCGCTGTAAATGATTATATGTGACCATGTGACTGTATTTACTGTACGGGTTGTGCAACAGGGAAATGTTATAGCAATGTAAATAACGAACATCATCTTTGGTTGTATACGTTGTTTATAGTACGGTTATATAACACAATACGTTTGATACCGTTTTCACCGGAATTTATACTGTTATATTCTAAATTACTTCCTTAGCCTTTGATCAACATATTTCTCAAGTAGCGATAACAAGAAATCATGTTTATTTTAGATGTCAATGAATTAGAGTTTTTTAGAATATTTTTCAATACGATGGATTGTATCAAAATAAATCTCTAATTACATGTATATAAATCAGTTGCATGGATTTACGGAAAGTGTCGGTTTATTCTAATTCCGCAGTATCAATGAAACTTAAATATTATATTTTAATATTTAAATATTTTTTGTGCAGTCTCTACATAAACCTTCTAAGTGAAAGGTTATTTTTAAAGGATAACATTAAGAACCAGTAAACGTGAATGTTTTCCAGTCGGAAACTGTTGGGACTTCTCGTCATATCACAAAAGTTATCGGGGAACCATCATGTTGTGACGTCAAATTCAAATTGCGTTTTTGATTTATTTTGGCCAATTGACAGGAAAATTACTATAGGAAAACGCAGTATTGTTTCCGTAAAAATGGCTGTTCAACCATTAGAAATTACTGTTTGGTTTAATATGCATCATGAACCAAAAGAAACTACACTAGAAGTATATTCGAAGTGAAAAGAGATTTAAAAAAACAAAACAAAACGTTTTTATGGATTTATTTTTATATATACAACCTCGATGTTAAAAACATATTAAATACTCCAAGATGTGGTACCATGTATAATTTTGTAAACAACTTACTTTTAACAGCGATCCTAACTGTTAAATAAATAAGGGATATCATCAGATTATTCATATCAATCCTAAAAATCTACCACCATTCGGAACACCTCGCCTTTGTAAAAAATGACGAAAGGGTATTCCGAATGTTTCTACCACATGAAAAAGTTAATTTCACGACATCATGACACAAAATACTGTATGCTCCCTATGTAATGCAGTTGCATAGTTAATATTAAACATTTATAACTCAGCATTAATCAACAGATTGCATAGATGCTTGATACTTACTATATAAGTAAGTTAATGAGGTATAACATTAGAAACATAGTGACTTGCAGGCTTACTGATATAAATAAACATGACAAAAGCAGTTTCAAAAGGATGAAGGAGATCAAAAAATAAATTTCAACCTCCTTTTCTCCAGGCTGTAAGTTGATTTCATAATTAATTTAAGTAGAAAGAAAACCTTTCATTAGGCAGAAAAGCAAACCAACGAAACATGTACCTTAAACGTGTAAATGAAATATAATTTGAACTTGAAAAACTGTAACGATATCAAAAATTATAAATTTACATAAAAAGGATTTCTTTTTAAAAAATAGGATTTATAAGTAAAACCATATGATTATGAAAAAATGGGATTTCTTTTTCATTAAGTTATCAATGTACTTGATGTAAAAAAAACACACCACATTTTGAACATGTAAAACACAATTATAATACTTTGTTGTAAAATTGCCTACATTAACAATTTTCGCTATATCTATAACCTTTTGAATTCATTTGTAAATTAATATTATTGAAACGATTTCATGTATATATTTACTAATAATTCAATTAGATAAAGATACGAGGAAATGAAATAAACATATCACATACCTACCCATAACATTGTCAGAGGTATTCAGTCGGTGGAAAACGATGTTCTCTTCAATCATGATCTAACAGGGTCCACAAAGTTTAGGATGAATTGTGTATCAAGTGAAGAATTAAATGATATGAAATGTAAATATTCTATATATTTTTCATAAAGTCGTCAAGTAAAGCCATAACATTTTGATAATAGAAAAGCTGGAATGTTTCATCAGCAAATAAGATAAATTGTTGAATGAAGAGAATATAATGTGTTGGATTAACAGACAGGATAATGTATTGAATTAACAGATAAGATAATGCGTTGAATTAACAGACAAGATAATGAACTAACTTAACAGATAAGATAATGTGTTGAATGAAGAGAATATAATGTGTTGGATTAACAGACAGGATAATGTATTGAATTAACAGATAAGCTTATGTGTTGAATTAACAGACAAGATTATGAACTAACTTAACAGATAAGATAATGTGTTGAGTTGACAGATAAGCTAATGTTTGAGTTAACAGATTTGAAAATATTTTGAATTAACAAGGAATATAAAGTGTTGAATTAACATAAGATAATGTGCTGAATTAACAGATAAGCTTACATGTTGAATTAAAGACAAGCTAATGTTTTGAGTTAACAGACAAGAAAATGTACAGAATTAACAGATTAGATAATGAGTTGAATTAACAGACACGATAGTATACTGACTTAACATATAAGATAATGTGTTGAATTAACAGATATAAAATGTATTTAACTAACAGATACGCTAATGTATTGAATAAACAGATAAAAGCATGTGCTGAATTAACAGATAAGATAATGTGCTTAATCAACAGATATTATAGTGTGCTGAATAAACAGATTTTATAATGTGCTGAATTAGCACTGTTGAATTCACTAACGTCAATGGTTTCAATGAACAGATAAGACAGTTTAAGTAAATAAAGAGGATTTGTTCAATTGAAAGATTAAAGACAGCATGTCAAAATGACAGAGAAGCCAGAAGTATAATTAATGATTTTTTTGGAATCAATATAAAAGATGTTTAATCAAGAAAAAAATTATTGATAAAGAAGAGAATGGTTGAATTAACAATATTCCGTCTTTGCGTATTGCAGAGTTATCCTCTCTTGTGAGCAGGTATTGATTGTTACGTCATTGGTTTGTGAGAGTAACTTCATCAATTTTTGAGAAAACGTCGTCATTTTCTCACACAAACCAATGACATTACAATCAATACCTGCTCGCAAGAGAAGATAACTCTGCAATACGCAAAGACAGAATGGACAGTGTAGAAAAGACTGAGCATTTAAATTTAATTCATTACACTAGCATGCTTTCTTTGTTGATTTTGACAAATATGAACATGCATGCCTAAGTGTTTATTTGTAATTAATCATAATCAAACAATATGGCAAAAAGAGAATGAAAAAAATGAATACTCAACACTCTAAAGTAAATTATTATGCATAAACCAAAATGTGACCCCAATATCTCATTCAACATGAATCACAAACATTTTGTAGATTTATCACAACAATATGCAACAGATGATTGACTTTTTATTTATATTTCCAGAATTTGCGGAGATAGGACTGGAATATCCGGGAGTTGTAGAGAGCCACCAAGGCTAACAGCAGCACGTAAAGCACAATCATTAGCACAAATCTGTGTTGGAATAACCAGGTGTTGTGCCATCTTCGTGACTGAGTTTCCCTGTCATAAATAAGCACAACAACGATTAGACTCCTAGCTAGTCAGTCCATATGTCCTTTCTTTTAAGGCAGGTTTTATCATTTTGTCAATTTTTTGATGTTATGTATTTCTGGTAAAAGCTGGCGGCATGGATGTTAATGTAGATTGTGATTGTAAAATAGATTGTGATTGATTTTACAAAGTCTTTTAAGAAAGAAATAACCACAACAAGTACTAGACTTCTAGCCAGTCCATGAGCCCCTTCTTTTAATGCAGGTTGGCCATTTTGTATATTCTTTACTGTAACATATTTCAGGTAAGGGTTGGCAGCCATTGATGTTAATATAGATAGTGCTAGCTTTTACACAGTCTTTCCACGTCTTGCAAATAACCAATCACTAGGTCTGTCAATTTTTCAAAGAACACTTTAAATAAAAACAGCCCAGTTACAAATTTAGGGAATGAACCATTGTGAATATATAAAGATCGTTAGCAGTTGATAAGTTTGGTTATTTTCGGCCATTTTTTTTTTTTTTAAATTGTATCTCATTTAAAAAAAAAAAAAAAAAAAATTGTTTCTCAGTTTTGAATCCTCACAAATTCTTTACTACAATAAATTTATATTTTTGTCCTGAAATTTTTTTTCTCATCAATTCAGCACATTGCGGTTATTGTGATTTTGCTGGCCAACAAGAGATTTCTTTTTTCAAATTTTCATGTAATCCCTATTCCCCTCAATGTATAATAATATGAGTGTACCAAACAACTGACCATGATCTAAGTCATGCTCTATTTTCTCTAAAGTACAGCATTATTACTTCATATTACGAGTTGTCTTTATATATAACACTTTTCGTTACAGTTTAACAATGATTACTCTTTTAGCTGTAAGTGTAATTTATTACCTTTTTTGTTGAGATGCTTTCTCCACATACACCAGCAGGTATTTGATACGAAGCATGTCATTGTTCTGTACAATATAGTACTTCTCCGGAACATCTCCGCCTTCACTGTTGGCAGCGTACGCTCGCTTCTTGTTTGTCTGTTCGTTGTTACCATCTAAATTAATTATAATGCATAAAAGGGAGATAATTTACAAAGCTCTATAAAAATTTCACATGCACAAAAGTTGTAAGTTATAATATATATAAATTATTAAAACAATTGAAATTTCATCATTTATCAATCACTATTTTCACAATCAGTTATAATTTATAGTAAAAAGTATACAGTTCAAACATGGTAATTTTCACAGATTTTCTGTGAGTCAAAATCAGTTATATTAGAAGGCTTTTGCTGTTCAACTGTATCTATCAGGCTTTTGATGGCTTTGCCCAGTTGTGAACAAAAGACTTGACAGATGATGACCTATTAGTAATGGTCTTACCCTCCTTGACTTGACATTTGACAGAGGCGTCATCAATAATCTCACACACAGCCACACAGCTTAGTTTGTGGCCAATACAACTCTTTTCCCATCCCAGGCCCATTGGGCTGTAGAGGAGGCAGACTGACAACTCACTAGACAGATAGGTACCCTCACCAAACACCGAGATCTACAACAAATCAAATATTTTTTGTTACAGATCAAAAGTCTCTTATGTTTTGTTAAGTTCCAATGGTTTGTCAGAAATTTAAATAGTTTTCATTACATAATGCACCATGCTAGGTCCATAATACAACACTATTTTTTTTTTTTTTTTTAAATGGTAACATATTTGCACTACAGGAAAATGTAACAATGAAGCTCTCAAAATATGAATGGTAAAAGGGAGATAATTCACAGAAAAAGTCAAATTGTCCTGAACTAAGAATTGATGTATTTTTCCTATTTCACATTATATAATATGCCATAGGGCAATTTTGGAAATTAACAATAAGTCTATGTATCAAACATTTTTGTGTTTCCAAATAAATATATTATCGTTGTAGCTTTAACAGAGATTAATTGTATATGAACAAGTACAGTATTAAACCATTACCAGAAAAAATATCCCTCCATTTTACCTTGTTCATATGAGATGCCAGTCCATTATGCAGGATAGAGTGGAAGTTTTCCAGTCGACTACCATGGTAGGCAAACATTGTTTTTCTCTGGCGACGAGTTTCCTCAAATTTGGCATCATCAGCTTCACTGCGTATCACTTCAAACACAAAGTCTGGGTTTGTGGCTGGCGAAGTATCTCCGGTCTGCTTCTTAATCTCTTCAAACTGACAAAGGGTGGCAAAATGACAAGATTTAATTCTACTTTCTTGTAAGCCTATTGTTACTGTACCTTATCCTATGAGACAAATATAATATGCAGCTGACTTTCCTTTGGGGTCGATTAATAAAAAAAAGAACATAACTATACATGCATCCTGCTAGAGCACTGCGATAACGTAGCTTTCTGACGACGAGAGTCTTTTTTATATATATTACGTCGTCAGAGCTACAAAGACGAGGAAGCCAGCTATTAATATTAGTACTAGCATCCTGCAAACATTGTTACATGTGAAATACATGGCTTGCTAATTTTTCAGGACTTTCTTTATAAATGTATACTGTAGAAATCCTATTTACGCAACCAACTTACCATATTTTTCCTAATTCGTGCCAAAACTTAATTAAGACTGCTTGAAAAATGATTAACGGGGATGTTCATTTACATAACAAAGCATAACTTCTGTAAATTGGTGTTTAGGAGCACAATATACCTGTTTGGCATGTAGTGTCCCAAAATTGTTTACCCATTCTATAACACTGGCAGTGCTGGAAGTAGTGTCATATTTTTTGAGACAGAAGTCTCTGATATAGAGTGTCAGTTAAATAATATGTACCTTCATCTTGATGGCTCCAGTTTAGCGTATTTGACCTCAAATAAGCCCCCACTCAAAAATAAGCCCCCCCCCCCCCCTTAATTTTGTCTCTATTAAAAAAATATTATGTTAATTTTTGTCTCTGAACATAAGGAAATTAGCTATCTGGATGCAATACAAAATTAACCCAAGTTAAAATTCTGCAAATAATTGTGTCACTGAATTGCACAATGGTAAATACTAGAGTGTCATGTACTCTACTGTGATTCTGTATTGGTTTTTAATAAAGAATTATGTAATTATGTAATTATGTATTCATGAATTAACAAAGGATGGATATCATGACAAATTATTATGGTTAAAATATATACAGGTAGTGCTTAATTTTGTTAATCAGAGCAGACCCGTTTGGGGAATTGGGAGGACGAGGGAGTGGACATTATACAATTTTGAGAAGTGGGTAAAAAAAAGGAGGAGTATTAAAAGCAGACAGGCCCCTCATTATTGTTATTAGGGCCGGTGGATGAAAACAAAGTTGATTCATCAAAGAAGTCTTTTGTTTCTACCGTATATCGTTATCATATTTCATTAACAAAAAAATAGAATGTAAGTATATTTAACATATACAATTACACAGGAAATACAATGTAATTACATCCTGTTTTAGATTAATATATTAAATATCACTGGTAAAATGATCCAACTTGAAATGATCAGTAATCGCAGAAACGATGCAATGCTTACCTGGGAGGATTTCACAGTCTTAATAGAAAATGAACCTCTATCCAAGACCCACTGCAGTAGTCCAAGAGCACATTCTCCTGTATGAATTCCATTGGCAGCTAGATGTCTCAATGCAGGTATTTCTTCCACTGTCTTTTCCTAATATGGAAGAAATTGCATCATTATTAGAACATATGATATAACATCACTAAGCGATGTCATTGACAGCAACATTGTACATATCAGGGGTGTCACAATACGCCAAGAGTATATCACGATATATTGCAATACAGAATGAGTATATTGTGATACGTATCCCGATATGTCATAGGAAGGATGTGCTCAATTTTAAAATTAGTTGAGGTCAGAATGTTATCAAACTTAATCATATATGATATGGATTATAAAGATTTGAGATTTTTGTCAAACCAACCATCGATTACAAACTTGTACTATTATAAAAGCCTGCTTTGTGCTTATTGACATATCTGTTAGAATTTTTAGTAATTTGCAAAGTTTAAACACCAAGCACATTATCTTGTGATATTATCAGTAAGATTGACTGTCTTTGAAGTCGAGCGTAGCTCCTCTGTAATCTTCAAATACCAAACGGTGTCAGAGAATTCTACGTTTTAATATAGAAGTGCACTCTGGCCCCACACCAGACCTCTATATATGTCAAAATGTCGAAGTCTGGTGTTAGGGCCAGAAGAAACTCGGGCTAGTTTCAGCCTAGCAATTGATTCAGGTTTTTTTACCTGAGACCAATCAAATAGCCTCATGCTTTTAATTTTGCTCTGACGTATTCCAGGGGTGCAGAGAGCGAAAGTAAATGTACTCCCCGAGTACCAAGGATGATCCATGTAAATCCATTCAAACCCATACATTGTACATGTAGTCCTATTCTGGAATTTGACTGTGATGACAGGAAACCCTAATAAAACGTTTGTGAAATTATTTTGTATTTTATTGGGAGTTCCAAATCAAAAAAAATCAACAGTGAGTAATTATAATAATATTAATATAATAATTATAATATTAATATTAATAAGGTCATGATGGCAGAAAGCGAAGTATTTATAAAATCTGCCATAGGGATGGGCTAAATAACGGTAAAAATCATTTATGTCAATTCATTTATATTTTCTCATGAAAAGTTAAAAACAGTATTAGAGTTTGAAAAGAATGTACCAGTGATTTCATATCCTTTTCTCCATCTTCTTTACTGAAAAGGGGAGGAAATGGTTTCAGTAACGAGTCAAATTTGTAACTTTTCAGCGCTGCAACGAAGAAACTCAAAACAATGTCAGTTGCGAATTGATCTTCTGTTATCTGCTGCCTGAGACTTGTTCTGGATGTCATGGTTGCACCCAAAAAGCTGTCAAATGTACGTGTACTTCTTGGTCCTAAGCCATATTTAAGTGTGACGTTGATTTGGTAAACCCAAACATGTTGTTTACTTCCGTTTTCGGTTTTAAACTTCCGGTAAATTATTATCACTGCGCATGTTCATTAGACACACAAACAACATGGCGGCACGAGCACATGGTCCAAACATATTGATAACAGGTGAACTTTTTCAAGTGTAGTGAACAGAATTACAGAGTTTGTTTATGCAGCAAGGCAACTAATTATCATGTTACTTATACTCTACCGTTCAGTTGCTTATTCTTTTGTAAAAAGTGTTGGCACATATTAGGCCGATATATTAGAAGCAAGCACAGCAACATGCATCTGCACATCCCAAATTGCAGGTGACACCGTTGTAAGCGTCTAGTCGCTTCTTGAGGTGCCTCTTTATACTGTCTACTTCACTTCCGGTTGAATTTGGAGGCATTTGAAGGAGACATTTTTTCTCAAAAATTAGTGAAAATTATTTACATGTGCAGTGGACATGGGCATGGGTGGTAAATTTGTACAGGATTCATATGAAGCAGTTTTCCCTACCATACTACATTGACAGTATAGTATGGTAGGGAGTACTGCTTTATAATGGTATATTATAATATATTAACATAACAGACGCGAATGCTTGGGATGACAATAGCTAGATCACAAGGACTAGGATAAAAGATGATTAACATTGTATTTCCAATCAAGGCATCCCAGATAGCACAAGCTTGACCGCCGATGGGCCAACGAAACTGTACCGTTGGCCCAACGCAGGCATACAACATTGGCCTAACAGCTTTTTGTCGTTGGGCCACTGGTGGCAGAAAATTATGTTGGCCCAACGTTGGGCCATTGTCTGAAAATATTGTTGGCCCAACGTTGGGCCACCGTCTGATATTACTAAAATTGTACTCCTGTAACAACGCTCGAACACCCGCCCGGTATATTTTACATTTCTGTCTGTCAGATTTTAGCGATTTCGTTTTGTATTTCAACCAAACAAGAGTTCCTTTCCCTGTAAATATGCAAATTGGGATCTGGAATTATCCAATTACAATTTTCATCACTCTACATGCCATTATGTCACATGGGCAGATGGTGCGAACATGACATGGGGCTAAACAACCAGAATTTGAATTGAAGTGATTTAAAAACGAGTTGTCAATGAAAATAGAATATAGATCTTATAATATATTCAACTTTATCATTTACACGTTTTCACCCTACTCGTGAATAATTGCAGATACATCAGTAACTTACTTTTGTCAAGACACTCCAACACATACCCGCTTCCAATTTTTCCCGCTAAGCTACATTCAGAAGGAGGCTATACCGGATATCTGTTAGACTATGGTTGGATGATTAGTTAATTTCCGACCGTGGGCCAACGGCGAGATGCGATCGTTGGCTATGCAGCTAAACTCCACCGTTGGGGCTGCGGAGCGATGCGATCGTTGACAATGCAGCTTAACTCAGTCGTTGGGCCTAGGTGAGATGCGATCATTGGCAATGCAGCTTTATTCCGCCGTTGGGCCAACGGCGAAATGCGATCGTTGGCTATGCAGCTTAACTTAACCGTTGGGCCAAAGTTGATATGCGATCGTCGCATTGCGCCATTGGCCCGCTATCTGGGATATAATATATATATACAATACAACGGACAAATACAACATGAACGATGGGACATTATTATGACTTGGTATTTTCTAAATATATCAGACTAGATTGATCATTACAGAGTCAAAGTATGTGCACACAATACTGTATATAGGTGTGAATCAACATATATAGAAGTCTGATATTTATTCTGAATCAATTAAGATAACAAGATGGATAGAGGTGATTCTCAATGTTCTAAGATAAGAGTACAGTAGCCTGAAGTTCTGTCAATAATTAATAATAACAGAAATACAAAAAAATACCTATAATATGCTCATTTTTAAGTCGCTCTTGGCGAGAGCCGAGCAGCTTATTAAATCTGTCCAGAGAACGAAATGACGGACTCACTTTCGTTCGGGGTGCGTGCGCATAATTCAGTATTGCATGCTTCCGCTATTATAGTTTCGTTTTCGTAAATTGAAAGTAGAATCTCTGATACTCACCTGTGGGTTACATAAAATCTTCTGATATTCTTCTCCAAGTAATAATCCATACTTTAAATAATTGCTGAAAACAAAATATCTCTATTCTACGAGTGTTGTGGTGGTGAAATTCGTGCACTAGGTTTGAGCGTTTTAGCAACTCGGATTGAGGTCTGAGGAGTGTTACGTGTGTGAAACACATATGATTCGAGAAAGCACATGTGAAGAGTGTCAAGCATTGACACTGTCTGTAGAAGGAAGAAGTAAATATATGTACTTATAAACCGTATTAGTGATGAAGTATAACCTCTATTTTGATGTTTCAAATGGGAACATAATTTGACATATCGTGCTTAGGTTGATAACGGTAATGGCTCCGAGACGAGACGATATGTGAACTGTGTATGCTTATCAAACATTTCTGTAACACAGCATGCTATTTCTGGTGTATTTATTTATGAACAATTTAAGAACATGACACAACTGCCGCTGCTGTCTGACAAGAATTCGCGCCTTGTAAAATTATTATCCAATCCGGTGTAAGGGAAATAACTCTTTCGTTGGTAAAGTCGCATTGAGAAATATAATTCAAATATATTCAAGAACATTTGTGAGATATTGTATATTCAATGACAGTAGATAAAGTCACTACATATATTAATAATTATTATTAATATGAATAAATAATAAATAAAAATAAAAGGAGTAAAATGTCTCTTTTTCTCCATGCATTTTTTTCCCCATATGGTTAATTCTTCATTTCATATCACAAAATGCACCTATTCTTTATTATCCATTCACTGATTGCCATTCTGCACATAAATGCTCATGTCACATCATTGGAGGATGCTAATTAATAAAAATTACAACAATGCATCACACTTAAAGATGGTGAAAAAAGAGGAGAGGGAGAAATGTTTTTAAGGCATCATTGAAGAGGTGATTGATTTTGGAAATCCCAAAGGCAACATCATCACATGTCACACCTGATTTTCAATAAGCAGAATACAGAACACATATCTGAGATATTATAGAAGATATTGATGCTCAACATGTTACTGAAGCAATCAAATTTAAAGTGGTGAGCGGCTTTAATGTCACACTGACATAATTCTAGTTAAAGCATATTATAGGAATTTGTTTTGTATTTCTATAATTATTATTAATTATTGACAGAACTTCAGGCCCCTGTTCATAGAGACAAGATGAAAAAAACCGCTTTGTTATTTTGGTTATACAATGTACCACATGTACATCTGTGGCAGATTTTAAATTGTACTAAAATTTACATACAAGATACAGGTGTCTGTGGTTATACGGTCATTGTTTAAAATTCCTACTACACTAAATATATATTAATAATGATTTGTATATGGATATGATATTCGAGTTTAAACTTAGATTTTAGAACTATCATGTGAAGATATTAGGAATGTGACAGATTTTATTTGTACATAGGATTAAGATTGCTTTTAGCTTTGTGCTAGAAGGAATTTCCTTTTAGCTCAGTGGTAGAGTATCCAACTAGAAAGTCTTGGATTGCGAGTTTGATACCCAATAAAAGGTTAACGCACCCTCATCCACCCCCCTTGGTAATAGTAGAAAGATTGAAAGCTCTTCTTAGAATTAGATATTTTATGTCTGAAATTTGACCCTGTCCTATGACTATTCGCTGCAAAATTGTCATTTCTAGTTTAGGTAAAAAAAAGTAGCAACATTGGGAAGATTTGATAACTTTCTTTTGATTACCTTATAAATACCTACATGTGAAAAAGTGTTCTCATTGCGCTTAACCAATTTAATACCTTATGATTTTATATATCATAAATGAGAAATTAAATCCTGATGGCCGCTTTTCATATCAGCGGAAGGTCCTGTCTTGGTGTGGTCCACTTCCAGTAGCAAGTTTTGATCTTTTGTACATTGCTGCATGCATACTATATCTCTGAAAAGAATACCTAGGTAATAAAGAGGTCATTATTCATGTCAATGCATGCCTCTGCTAGGAATCGAACCCAGGACCTCTGGTTTACTAGTCCTAAGCCTCTACCAATTTAATAAGGTAATAAAGCTGCTCCGTACATGCTAGTATCATTCAAGGATGACATACTCCCCTTCCAGGGAAGAAATTGTCCCAAGATTTTCCAGGGGTCATGCATACAATGTATAGTAATTCTTGCAAAAGTATTGCCGATTACTTTTTTCAGTATTTACTGGGTACCTTACGTGGGTGTCAATTGTAACAAAGGTCATAATTGTTTTCAATGCCTCTGCTAAGGATCCAACCAGGGACCTCTGGTTTACTAGTTTTACATTCTACTGATTGAGTCATAGCCAAGTCGGTAGGAAACAACTAGCATTTTACTAGGATGACACAAGCGCTAGCACTGCCAAAGCGTATGATATTCATGTGTAATTTTTTTCGTGAATTTATAAGTAAATGTCATTACCACATAGATATTTTGTAAACATTTTTTCCCTATATGTTTCCATAATTTTGGATGGTAATAATTTTATGATCACATAATTTAGAAATCAATGGGGTGGTAAATAAACGGGAATCCAAACTGGGCACAAAGTAGCATCATTAAATGAGGACAACAGGATTGACTTAAGTCATCATTGTAAAGTAAATGATAGAAAATGACTGTCCATTTCGGAGTAAAGCCTAATCATTTTTGGTAAACAATGAAAAGTACATTGCTTTAATTTCTTTGCTCTAATATATGTGAATTTGGTCACCCGATTATATACATTTTAAGTGTTTATCCTCAATCATGTTATGTACCTATGACTTAAACCTCCTCCGTGATGTTTTTTTTCATCATAAACCATGGCCAGACAAAGTACACATGAAATTGCAAAAGAAACATGATCACTTAATTTAGAACTTATTTATTGTGCAAGAAATAAGCTAATTCCATGAAAAATTCACTGCCCACTGGCCAGGATCATGACCATGATCAGTGGCTTAATTTTTGACTCAGTGGTGTGAATTTCCTTAGATCTGATTGTGAAATGTTTAAATTGAAATCTCTTTGTGAATTACATTTCTGATAACTTTTTTTTTGACCTGTAGGTACTCCTGGCACAGGAAAGTCTACACTTGCTGCTGAACTTTGTCAGAGATCAACATTGAACTATGTCAATATTGGAGAAGTAGCCAAACAAGGGGACCTGTATGAGGGCTGGGACCACATCTATGAATGCCAGATGATAGATGAAGACAGGGTATGAGGTTATTCACTTTTACTTTTTTAAAATTATAGACAATTCAACCTGTAAGTGTTATTTTGTTATTTGTAGTACAAGTAAAGAAAATAGTTCTCTTGAAATTGTCCCATTGAGAATACAACCCTGAATACACACATATTGGACATTTACAATCCTGAAAATTGTCAGTCATTTGTAGACTAGACTTGCAGGTCTGAACAATTACGATTCATGGACATTTATGTCCAAGATGTTTTATTAGGTCACCTGAGCTTTGCTCAAGTGACCTATTCCAATCGCTTTTCGTCCGTCGTCGTCCGTCGTGCGTCGTGCGTCGTGCGTCGTGCGTAAACTTTTACATTTTCAACTTCTTCTCAAGAACCAGTGGATTTTTTTCAAACTTGGTCAGAATCATCCTTGGTAGATGAGGCTTCAAAATTGTAAAATTGGGATTCCTACCCCGACCCCTGGGGCCAGGGCGGGGCCCCAAAGGGAAAATTAATCAATATTTCAAAAATCTTCTTCTCCAGACTCAGAGGTACTACAGTGATTTTCTCTACGTGGAAAGAAAGATCATCAGGCGCTTTACTTAAATTGTAAATTTCAGGACCCCCGAGCTATCCGTTCTCCCTTGGGGAGGGGGTAAAGTTTACTATAGTTTATATAGGGAAATAACACTTTTGGGTATATTTTGACAACTTTCTGTAGGAAATTATTTTTACTTGGTGAGAATTATCCTTGGAGGTAGATGGTTTCAAATTGTAAAATTGAGATTCCTACCCCGACCCCTGGGGCCAGGGCGGGGCCCCAAAGGGAAAATTAA